TTTTGTGTCTGTGTGAAACGTCTACCTCCAATCCTACTGTCACCTCTATCACTCCTCTTTCTTATCAAAACGTGTCTTTTTAGGCCTAAGGAGATGGCTCAGTGGGTGCAATGTTTGCTGGGCAAGCATGGGACCTGAGTTTGGATTCCCAGCGCCCACATAAACAGCTGTGCAGGGCAGTGTGTACTTGTAGCCCTGGTGCTTTTGGGTTGGCAGAAAGAGGAAGATGCTACAACAGCCAGCTCTAGGTTCAGTGAGAGACCCTGCCTCTAAGATAAGATGAGGAATGATTGAGCAGACACTGAAAGTCAGCCTTTGGACTCTGTGTGCGCACACAGGTCAATATACCTGCACATGCACATATATACAGAAAATTTTAGATTAGTATACAACTTTTTAAAAACTCTAACAAATCCCTTTTTTCATGGCATAGAGAAGCACTGATTGATACCAGTGTATTATGTCAACTTTCCTTGAGATATTTGTGTTTCAGCAGGCCACAGCTCATGGCAGGCAATATTACAGGTTGCTTGTACCATTAAGTAGGTACTTAAAAGCCAGCCTTAAGTCTTTTCTTTTCTTTTTTTTCTTTTTTTTTTCTTTTTTTTTTTTTTTTGGACAAACTACAAAACAAAATGAAAGCCTTTGGTGGTTTTTTAATAAACATGATGGTGGGCTTGGTTACAAAGTGCTAAAGCCAAGGCATTCTTGGGGGATATTAACTTCAAAAAGCAAATGTAGAAACAGTAATGAGATAATTATACTTTAAAGTGGTGGTGACTTTTGTGACTAATCAGTGTTATCCTTCTTAATATTGAATACTTATATAGGAAGGAATCTATTAAAATAGCCCATTGGGCTGGGAAGATGGCTTAGTGGGTAAAGTGCCTGCCTATAGGTGTGAGGACCTGGGCTTGAATCCTCCAGTAATTTACCCACAGAGATAGCTGTTGTGGTGGAAGCATCAGCAACCCCAGTGCTCCTTCAAGGTGGGAGAAGACAGGAGATTCTCCAGAAGCGTCTGAGGCAGCTGGTCTGGTCTGCCATACAGAGCAACAGAGCTCAAAAAGACCCTGTCTCAAATAGCATCTGAGATTGTCCTCCTTCTCTCCCTCCTCAAACACACACCATGTGAGATGCATGCCAAGTGCTGGGATTAAAGGTGTACACCACTACCTCCCAGCTCAAAATGTGGCTTTTGTTTTGCTGTGTGTGTGTGATCTCTTACTTTAGACTTCTAAGCATAACTGTGGTTTCCAAGTCTCTTCAAAAGTGTAAGTCTCCCATAAGTAACCTGAAAAGAAGACTAGATTAGATTGAATAGGTTGTAGCAGATACCTAACACTTATAGCAAGCTCTCAGTGCTACCTGAGACCTACAAATCAAAGACTTGGTGATTCATAACTACACACACACACACACACACACACACTATTTGAAGATTTAGAGATACAATCCTATTAAACAGGTAGAAGGCCTGTAGGGGGAAAAATCTGTTTTCTTCCACTGACTATTAAATTCTCATACTTATTGTGCATCCTGACTTTTTTGGGGGGAGTGCATTTTTGAGATAGGGTCATGTATCCCAGGACCTTAAACTCAATATGTAACCAAGTATAGCCTTGATATTGATCTCCTGTGTCTGCTTCAGGAGTTATTAGCTTTTTTAATGATATGGAACCTTCAAGTGATGTTCCATTTCAACTAAGTATTGTCAAATGGACTTCCTTTTCATAGATAGAGAGATAGATTTTTTTTTCCCCTTGAGAAAAGGTAGCATTATATAGTTTTGGATGGCCTGGAATTCACTGTGTAGACCAGGCTGGTCTTGACTCACTGAGACTTGCCTTCTGTGCCAAGTTCTGGGATTAGAAGTGTGCACTTGGCCCTTACAGTGTGCATGAAGCCAACTGGATATTGCCACAGTGCCTTGTACCAGTGTCTGGTCTATTATTGTAGCTTGCTTCTTCCTATGAGTCTCCCAGTAGTCACGGATAAGCAACAGCTGGACCAACAAACACCTCAGAGTCACAGAAAGCCTCAATTTTGCCTTTCATTGTGGATGGTTGAGACACAGCCATATGTCAAATCATATTTCTGGCAAGATCCCTTCATAGTTTCAAGGCTAATTTGGTTTCGTGTAGTTGTGCAGTATTATATAATACAGTGGCCTGTGCTGATGGTAATGGCCAAAGGCAACTGCACTGTCAGTTAAGATTCTTCACTGACATCAGATGCCAGATTATGGGTTTCTCTTGTCATGAGACTTTATGTCCCCTGGCCAGTCTTATCTTCTATCTTTTCAAATGACTTATGTTTAAAAATGTAATGTCAGCCACTAAAATGGATTCTTCTGTGGGTTCTCTGAACTGTTGTGATGGCCATTCTTTTGATCATAGTCAGATATAGGTGCTGGTCCTACTCAGAATGCCACTTGGGGCTGTGGGAAGAAGCAGGGCCTCAGAACCAGGCCAGAGCTGAATCTAAACCCCAGCTCTAATCTGCTTAAGATCTGCACTCCTTCATTTATAAAGTAACATGAATGATTACCTTAAAGTGAGATGGTAAAGAATTAAGTGAGGAACCAGAGAGGTGGTCTAGTCGGTGCATACAGTACTTGCTGTGTGAACATGAGGTCCTGAGTTTGATTCCCAGAAACCAAGTAAAAGTGCTAGGTGTGGTGGCACCTGCATAAAATCCCAGCCCCAGAGTGGTGGAAATGGGGGTCCCTGGGATTGCTGACCAGCCAGCCCAGCCTAATCAGCAAGCTCTTCACCAGTGAGAGACCTTTCTTTGTCTCTTAAAAACCAGGTGGAGCTTGAGAGACGCTTGTAAATGTATAAACGTGGGAAGAGACAATTAGATAGGACAAGTATAAATGAATGAAAATGGCTTGGGCTAGTGAGATGGCTCCAGGAATAAAGGAGCTTGCTGCCAAGCCTCACCACCAGAGATCCATACATAATGGAAGGAGAGAACTGGCTCCCGCAAGTTATCCTCTGACCTCCACATGTAAGATATGCAGGTGCACATCTACTACACATTTGTACACAAACACAAAAATATACACTAAGTAAAATAAATGTAGTGTTAAAAACCGGTAGTGACAGCACTGGGGGTAGGGGTGGGGTGGGTGGGGTGGCAGAGGCAGGCGGATCTCTGTGAGTTCAAGGCCAGCCTGGTCTACAGAGCAAGTTCCAGGACAGGCTCCAAAGCAATACAGAGAAACCCTGTCTTGAAAAACAAAAACAAAACAAACAAACAAACAAAAAAAAAAAATTGGTAGTGAGCGTAGAGATAGTGTGGGAGCTGGCTCAGGGTTCTGGCCTGGCATACTGGACAGTGCTACTCTTTGTCAGCATAGAAACTGATATGAAGGAATCGGCTTGCCAGAGGGCCAGGCAGCAATAGAAGTTTAATTTGGGGTGTGTTGCATTCCTCATACCCAGGGGATGCCCAGTAAGTGGCTTTCTATATTGCCCTGAGATCAGATTATAGCACCAACCAGCAAGGTTAATTTGGCCTTCGAGCACCCAACTGCTGCCCATCTTCCTCTGACAGCTGATGCATGCAAGGTACTCTGAGTATTTACTGTTGACATTACTGCACTGCAGCTTCAACCTTTGATCTCTCTAATATTTGCTTTCATTTTACTCAGCAGTACTTAGAGTCAAGAGGCCAGCCTAAAGATGGCTCAGTAACTAAAAGCACTTTCTGCCAATCCTAATGGCCCGAGTTTAGTTCCCAGGACCCACAGAGTGGAAAGAAAGAGCTATCACCCCTGCCCAGGGGCATACAAAACAAAACAAAAAATCAAAAAGAGGTGCTAGCCTAAGCAGTGTTCAATTAACAAATAACTTCTTGACGACAGATCGTCACTTATCATTCTGCAGACTGACACAAATTGGCCTGCCAGGCATGGTGTTGCATGCCTGTAATCCTAGCACTTGGGAGGATTAACCACTAATTCATGGCCAGCAAGGAATACAGAGTGATGCTGTTTAAAAACAAACAACAACAGCAAAGTTGACCATTGTTCAGTTGTCATAATCATCCAGCCTTCCAGTAGTAGAGAAATTATGTGAAGAAGTTTTGCTAACCCTCTGCATGTGAATAGGCTTACTCCTTCCCAGGGTTGGGATGGGTGAACAGCTTGAGAATACATATCTGCTCTGTGTCCTCTACACCTAGCACATTGTAGCTGCCCTGCTGATTGGATGAATTATGTGAAGTGGATTGTTACCTTAGAATTGCAGAGTGTTTTCATAGATGTTATTGAATTTGATCCTAAGACCTCAACCCAGCTACATGTTAGTACATTTTAAATATGAGGAAATATATATGTTATTAGCCAAAATATTTTGTGTCTCATCTATAGACCTAAATTCCCCAGTCTCTCAGTTCTTTTGCATGCCCTATATAATACTAATGAAAGATGTCCTCATCTGATTCAGCTTGTACCTGTTCCAGATGCTCTTCAGTTGCTCATTTGAAGACGATTCGGGAATGAAGTGGATGCAGAGTCCTGGGCCTTAAAGGGCGTTAGTTTATATTCATCATAACATGGGTTGGTTCACGGGAGAAGAAAAGCTCAGTGATTTTTAAATATAATTAGATAGATAGACAGATGGTAGGCAGCTGGGTGGATGATTGACACTGGATATTGATGACTAGCAGTTGATACTGATTGCTACTGATGAATAGAAATTCTTCTGAGCATCTTTGGAGCTAAGTGTCTTGGTAATAATAACATTATTATGTCTGAGACCTCTTAAAAATAATTGCTGATTCTCAGAGTTTCACTTTTATTTTCCCACTTGCTCACAATCTCGCTTTTGTGTGTGTTCATTCATTTGTAGAGTGCAAATGGCATTCGCACAGAGGAGGTGGCTATCGTGACAAAAGGGCCGCCCACCTACCCTGCCTCTGAATGGGAGTGCCCCAAGCAGTCAGTAGTTCCTAGTCAGAGCCTGATGACCACCCCACCGGTGTCTCCACAGAGCTTTGGTTCTGGCTCCCTCTCCATAAACAGCGAGGAGGCAGAAGAGAAGGAGCAGGGGGCAGCTGGCTATATTGATGCTAAGGAGATGCCAACGGGCCCAAGTGAGGAATGTTTAGGAGTGGAGGAACAGACCAGTACCTTAAATTTCTCAGTAACTCCAGCTTCCTGCCAGCCGCAGCATGGTGGAAAAAAGGCAGACAGTAGTGAAGAACCAGCAGAGACCCTTGAGACCCTGAGTGGACCCTTTCTTGACCCTCGTATGGGTCACCAGTTCCCCACCCTCATTCGAAGTTTCCAGGTAGTACCTGATCTGACCGTGAAGGTCTAATGCCACTTTGGGAGAGGGCCAGAATCTGGTCTGTGGAGGAAGTGGTGGTGGTGGTGGTAAAGGGTATGGCCTCTTCTGTTCTTGGCGTCACAGCTAAAAGTGAATGGAGTCTTGGATGCTGTAAAGAACTCAGTCAGAGGAACTAACTCGGACTAGACATGTTTTTTCTTCTGATGACTTAACAAAACTCTCAGGAGTAAACTCCAGCTACTTACCTTCGTGGAGCTGGTGTAAGTATGCTCCTCTTTCCTTTTGCAAGGACGAGCTATGGCAAAAGATGAATTACAGAGACTCCTGTGGGAAAGAGGCTTCAAGGCTCTGAGAGCATGCTCAGAGATTTCCCAGTGCTCCTCACTAACATTCGATTTTTAAATGAAGATTTATACTGCTAGACTGTGCAGCCCGCCACCCCCACTGCTCCCCCAATCGGGGATTCTGTGATCTGGGCACTAACTTCTGTATGGAGGTGAATGGCCACTTAACCTATCGCAATCAAATGGTAGTTTCCGGGTGATTGATATCCTGGGAAAGGTGAACAGAAAAGACAAGAAGGCCTGTGCCGTTCCACTAATGTCCATTCTTTTGGAATTCTGAAATTAATCACCAGGTGGTGGGAGAACTGATTATTTCTTCTTTCTCGTCTTCCAAATACTACATCTTCTCAGTAAATCCAAAGTGAATGTCTGACATTGATTTGAAAGAAGTTAATGAATTCCAAGGAAATGTGTTCCAGGGCCTCTGCTGCTTCATGTACTTTTGTACTTAGAGGGGAAATGTGCCTGGTTTTCTTAATTATGATGTACAGTCACAAGGACGAATGAAAGTGATTTCTACTTGGCAGATAATTTTATATTCAAATTCTGAAGGTCGATCTAAAGTGTTTTATATCACCGGTCATAAACTGTCTGGTGTTATAATTTTCCATTAAGCTTATGAAAGTAATTACAGTAATGCTGCTTTTTAATACCCTTCTCAAGATGTGACACCTTGTCATGGCTTCTTGGGAATCGTGTCTTCGGAGAGTGATTCTAACCTTTGCTTGACTCAAGCTAACGCTTTGATCAGATCAGTGTCAGAGGTTCAGTTCCCTACAGCCTGCAGGAAGGTTTGGCCAACTCTGTTTCTTTACTGTCTGCAGCCTCCTTTGGTAAAGACTCAGACTGTCACCATCTCAGATACTGCCAATGCTGTGAAAAGTGAAATCCCAACCAAAGATGTCCCTATTGTCCACACTGAGACCAAGACCATCACCTACGAGGCTGCCCAGGTAAGACACTGATGCTCCAGGACAAAGACACTCGGAAGACAGTAAATCAATGGTTTCTTCCTTCAGGTTCTAGTCACTTACTGCGAGTAACATCAGGCTTTCTAGGACAGTTCTTTGAAGATTGCTGACTTAAGTGAGGATGTCCCAGTGAGCGGGGCTGAAGGCTGGGAATCCGGGCAGCTCAGTTGATAAGTGTACTCACCTTGCATGAAGACCACACATAAAGTTGGGTCTGCTTTGGGCTGGGAAGATGATTCAGTTGGTAAAGCACTGTGTCACACGCACAAGGGCTTCAGATTCTTCTGATGGAAGCTTGAGGGCCCGAGTACCTGAGGACTGAGACCTGTTGTCGTCCTCTGACCTCTACACAAGTGCAGCTGCACCTGTATGTGCGCACACACATATACAAAGGTTAAACTAAAACTGGGTGTGGCAGGTACATACCTGTGATGCCAGTACGTTGGATGTAGAAACAGAAGGATCAGGAGTTTAGGGCCATTCGAAGTTATATAAGTATGAGGCTAGGCTGGGCTAATGAGACCCTTTCTCAAAATAATTTGTCTTAAAGAGGAAATAAATGCAAACTGTCAAGGCTGAGTGTTTAACTCCGTGGAAGAACATTGTACTTGACATGTGTGCAACCCCAGTTTACTCCCCAACACCAAAGAGCAAGTGAAATTGCCATAGGTCTGATGTCCTTCCACCCTAGTCATTTGGGAAAGTTATTCCAGTGTGATGACGAGTGTGTGCCCTGCGGCAGATAACCGTGAGCACTGGCTCTGCGCCTCTGTTTCCTAACTTGGACAAGTCATTAAGCCCTGACCAGCCCTGCCTGTGATGTTAGTATCTATGTCGTGCTATTATTGGGAGGGTTCAGAAGTTTTTAAGTCTTCCACTTCCTAATTACAGTGAAAGTTCATCATTTTTGGTAATTTGATTTGTTAGAGTTGCATTCTGTCGAATTCTCTCTCTTTAATTAGTCACAGATGGCAAATATTTAATCCTCTACAACATGTTTATCCAGCTTTTCTGTGTTAAATCAAAGTGCTGTGTTGGAGGTGACGCTGCTTGAACACCCCTTGGGGGAGGGGTGAGAAGACTCAGCACTGGGAGTCAGTATGTAGCAGAGTGTGCAGACTTGTTTACTAAGTTAGACCCTTTTACACCCCTCCTAAAGTCCTATTGGCTCAGGTGGCTGACTCTGCTACATTGTCCTTCCCTCATTGGTGTCTCTGGGTCAGGTGTCTCTCCTTCAGCAGTCTCTGAGTGTAGAGGCAGGTTTGGCTCAGGAAGGAAGTGACTGCCACATGCTCATGTGGGCTGGCCTAGGCAGTGGGGGAGGGAGGTGGAAGATTGCATCTTGGGTAGTCTGGCTGCAGTTTCTCCTACAGTGGTGTAAAGATAGATGGTTCCCACCCTCTATAGGGAACATTCTAGTAAGGAGAGAAGGGTTGGCAATAAGCACAGCAACAGCCAGACACGGTGGCCCACAGGTAGAATTCCCACGCTTGAAATGGAGGCTAGCTGATTGGGAATTTGGGCCTCCCAGCCCCCAGCCTACCCTGAAAGACCATGGCTGGAAAAAAATTAACAACCAGGAATGAAAAACGAAGGGAAAACCCACATAAACAAATATCAGACACTAGAAAGTTCCATACAGAAACCTAAATAATGTAAACAGATAATTCAAGGAGCTGGGGGTGTACTCACTGGTAGAGCCCAGTGCAAAGGGGCAGCGTGTAGCTCTGGTTGGACACTGAAGATCTTCTCAGTTGGTCTTCCCATCCCCATGAGCTGAATGATGTTTCACCCTTAGGAAGCTTGGAGGGTAAAGTGTGTGCTTTGCAGTTAGACACAGCATTGTGTGCCCCAAAACAGGTAGCTACTTATGGGTAACCTCAGTCAAGTCCCCAGCCTATCAATTCCCTGGCTCTTACCTGGGGACAGGATGACCTACTACTGCTGAGGAAATGTAGGTGAGATGGTATCTGCCAAGTGCCAGCCTCTCCACAGGTGTTCAGTCAGGGTTTGTGCACGCCCCTCCACTCTCTTTGTGATCTACAGTGTGGAATTTAATTTGCTGCATGACAAGTTGCTTTACGGTTTTCACTGGTAGATGATAAAGTAGCATCATTGAAGCAACGGCCTTTTAAAAATGACTCCTAAAGCTGCATGTTGACTGTATTAAAGTAGGGACAGGCGTGAAGACAAGATTATGACTAGGGCAGATCTGGGGAGATGATTGTGAGAACAGCAGTAAGTGTAGCTTTCAGAAATGAGAAGAGAAGGGGCAGTCAGTCAAAAGAGATAGAAGGAAAAGAAAAAACTATCAAGAAGGCCTTGGCAGGGGAAAGCACCGAAGAGGAAGGAAAGAAAAATTGCTTCATGGTTGTACATACCATTACCTGAGGAAGAGAAAGGAGATGACTTGCATATTCAGAGGAACTAATCTTTGCATGTCACCACCATGGAAACAACTTAAATGGCCTTCACTGAGGGAAATGGTTAAATAAATTATGGAGCCCCTATTGAGGTACTCTGTGGCTCTTGGTGAGGACTAGTCTACATGAAATTTGTGAATGAACATTATGGGAATCATATCTTTATTTGTGGGTAGAAAGGGGAGCGTGTAGGTAGCCATGTATGTGAGAGCAATGGGTGATATGGCCTTAGGTAGCAATATTCTCTCTGGATGGAGATTTAAAAATAAGGGTCTGAGCCCGGTGGTGGTGGCACACACCTTTAGTCCCAGCACTTGGGAGGCAGAGCCAGGAATTCAAGATCAGCCTGGTCTACTGAGCAAGTTCCAGGACAGGCTCCAAAACTACATAGAAAAACCCTGTCTTGAAACAAAAAAAAAAAAAGGGTCTGAGGAGACAGCTTGCTGTCCAAGTATGAAGACTTGGGTAGAGATCCCCAGTGCCCAGTGCAGCAGGGATGTGGGGGAGAGAAGGAGGCAGGAGGATCCCTAGAGCTCATTGGCCACCCAGTCTATCTATATAAATTGATGAGTTCTAGGTTCAGTAAGAGATCCCATTTCAAAAGAAAATGTAGAAGCCAGGCATGGTGCCGCAGGCCCTTAGTTCCAGCACTGGGGAGGCAGAGATGAGGATCTCTGTGAGTTGGACGTCAGCCTGGGCTACACAGAGAGACTGTCTCGAAAGCAAAAAAATAAATAAATAAGATAGAGGCCAGGTGTGGTATCACACACCTTTAATTCCAGCACTCAGAGACTAAGGAAGGTGGATCGATATGAGTTTGAGGGCAGCCTGGTCTACATAGGGAGTTCCAGAACAGCCAAGACTATTTAGACCCTGTCTCAACAAATAAGCAAGACTGGAATGAGACTGCTCAGAAGTGGAGGGAGGCTGACTGCACACCATTTAAACTTCATGTTGAGGTTTTAAAACTTTGTAGAATATACACTAAAAAGTTAGTGGAGCCAAGCCTGGTAGTGCAGGCCTATCATCCCAGCTACTCAGCAGGTTAAAGTCTGAGAATTGTGAGTTCAAGGCCAACCTGAGCAACTGAGTCCCTGTCTCAGGATTTTTTAAAAAATGCAGGGGTGTTGGGCTTGGGGTATAACTCTTTCAACAGAGTACTTGCCTAGTATACACAAAGGCCTGGGTTCAACCATCAGAACCTTATAAACCAGGCATGATGTTGAGAGGTGGAAACAGGAGGGCCAGAAATATATTCACATTCTCTTTCTTTTTCTCTCTCTGTCTCTCTCTTTGTCTCTCTCTGTATCTCTCTCTGTCTCTCTCTCTCTGTCTCTCTCTCTCTCTCTCTCTCTCTCTCACACACACACACACACACACACACACACACACACACAGCTTCCCAAGTGTTTTAGTTAGGATTTCTATTGCTGTGAACAGACATCATGACTATGGAAACTCTTATAAAGGAAAACATTTAATTGCAGTGTCAGCTTAAGTTTCAGAGGTTCAGTTCATTATCATCATGGCAGGGAGCATGGCAGCATGCTGGTAGACGTGGGGCTGAAAAAGGAGCTGCTATATGTTGATATGAAGACATCAGGAAGTAGACTGTGTCACACTGAGCGAAGCTTGAGAAAAAGAGACCTCAAAGCCTGCTTGCACAGCGACACACTTCCTCCAGCAAGGCCACACCCACTAATAATGCCACTCCCTTTGGGGGCCATTTTGTTTCAGACCACCACACCAGATAACGTATACTGTGGCTAGCGTCATCATCCTCCCAAGTGCTCGTATTACAGTCAAGGGCCACTACACCACGCTTACTGGTCTTACCATCTTTTGTTTTCTTACAGGTGGGCTTTCACACCCACTCAGCATTTACTTGGGATAAGAACCTGTGTCTTAAGTTTCATGGCAAACGCTAAGTTATCTCCCAGGCCCCTAAGTCACAATTTTTTATCTCTTCACTTTTTGATGGACAGCTGAGCTCTTTCCAATGTTAGGCAAACTGGACTAGTACTGCGGTGAACATTCACTTGCACGTCCCCATGTATGTGTTACTTGAATAAACACCTGGGTTCCAGGGTAAGCAGATGTTTATTGGTAACTGTCAGTGTCGTGATGTCTTTAAGGAAGCATTGGTAAGAGGGTGAAGGAAAGGAGACTCCCTGAGGGGGGTGGATAAATGGAAGTGGACGGCCATGATAGTGCCTCTGTCTTCCACCCTCAGGGACAAAGAACAGAGTATGGGGTGGGCAGCAGGTGGGAACAGTCACAGGCTTAGCTCTGAGATTGGGGTCAGCCTCCCTGTTGTGAAAATTTATAGCCTCTGGTTGTTTTTTATGTTGTTTGTTTTTGAGACAGCATCTCACGGTGTAGTCCCCGTTCACAGAGATCTGCCTGCCTCTGCCTGGGATTAAAGGCATGCACCACCCCTGCCAACCCCTTGCAGCAGTTTACAAAGCATGCCCACTTGTTCAATTTGTTTTGATATTCACAATGCTATGTGTGGGCAGGGCCACCTTCTAGAAATGATATGAGTGGTGGTGCATGCCTAAAATCCAAGCACATGAGAAGTGGAGGCAGGAGGATTGGAGGGGTTCAAGGCCATCCTCAGCTACATAAGGGAACTTGAAGCCAGCTAGAGAGAAGTGGGGAAGCAGAGGCAAGAGAACCATGAGTTCAAGTCTAGCCATGGCTACATGGGCAGCTTGAAGCCAGCTTGAAGCCACGGCTGGATACCGACTGTGCCAAATCCTAAATTCTAGTCTTCCAACATTAGTTTCTTTCCCATTCTGTGACATTTGAATACCTATCAACCACAGAACCTTAGGCAATTTAACCTCCCTGAGAGCCCAGTTTTCCCAAACGCAAAGAGGATATAAGAGTCTCTAACTCAGGTGTTGAGATGTTGTGCTTGACACGTAGGAGGAGTGCAAAAAGTATGTGTAGGGTCTAAGTCTTCCATAGAGTAATAGTCTGGGCAGGAGAAAATATTAGTGGGCTAGCTAACAGTGCACTGGTATGAGGGAGTGTGCTTGGGACTCCTGGTCTCTCGGTCACATTCCCTCTGGTGGAGGGAACTCAGCCTAATCCTCCCCTACCCCCAGTATCTCAGAGTTTGTTCATCTGGATGAAGTGTGTTCCTGCTCACAAATAAAGACAGTCACAGTATCCATACGTATGGTCTCAATTACTCAAGAGTTGAGGCAGGAGAATTACATGAGCCTTGGAATTGGAGGCCAGTCTGAGCAGCACCATGCCCTTTTAAAATGAAATTGACAGCTCCTGCTTATTCTGGTGACTTACATATGGTGCAGCACCTTTACGAAAATAGTTTCAGTTCTCTTAGCCCCTGGTATTGGTGCCCAGTGCTTCCAGTCTGCTCTAGGAAGCACTTGCCTTAGGTAAACTCTGTCTTCGTCCAGTTTTCTTCTATCTTGGTCGTGGAAGCCTGTGTGTCTCTAGCTGCCTACATACCTTTCATAACATTTGTCACTGGTCCCTGTCACATCTCTTTAGCTCCTTGCTAATCATAATGAGCAGCCTCAGTCCTTGTTTGATTCCTATGTAGATTAGTTGTGTAATCTGGCATTTAAAATAATTTGAGCCCCTTCCAACAGGAGGAGCCCTGGCAATAATAGCTTGCTGTCAGGGATGTCACTAAAGTCTATTGTGCATGTGTCCTTCTTTCTCATGAGTGACACTTTCTGCCTCATTTGCTCAGTTCCTGGCTGTTGTTGGAGGTAGAACTATCTCCACAGCAGCTAGTCTGAGACTCTTGCCCTTTAAACAGGCTTTCCTGTCTCACTCTGTGATGTAGGTCACTCGGTCCTCAGCTTCCAGAAGCCCATGCCTCTCCTGCATGAGTGTGTGTAAAGAGCACCAGGTGTGGTCAGAACACAGTGGCCCTGGGAGTTCAGACAGTTCTGTCCCTTCTGTGGCTTTCATAGCATGGCTTTACTAAAGGTGTTTCCATGGCCCTCTGTGAACAGTGGGATGTTGCCCCTGTGTAGCTTGGAGCTTCTAGCTGTACCACACTCCTGCCTCTTTCAGACCCACTGCAGTTACTGACCTAGTGCTGAGGAACTTGTATTCCTCAGCATTTGGGAAGGGGGAGGGCACAGGGTTGCACTGGATAGCCCTGGATATCCTAGAAATTATAGACCAGGCTGGCCTCAAACTCAGCAATCTGCCTGCCTCTGCCTCCCAAGTGCTGGCATCAAAGGTGTGTGTCACCACACCTATTTTCATTCAACTTTTTGAGACAGGGTCTTACTATATAGTTCTGGCTATCTTAGAACTCTCTGTAGACCAGGCCAGTCTCAGATTCACAAAGGTCCATCTACCTCCTGAGTGCTGGGATTAAAGGTGTATGCCATTATACCTAGCTTCAACTTTTATGTTTAATGTGTATGGGTGTTTTGTCTGCATGTATGTCTGTGTACCACATGTGTGCCTGGTGCCCAGGGAGGTTGGAAGAGGATGTTGGATCTCTTGGAATTGGAGTTACAGATGGTTGTGAGCTGCTAGGGAAGGCTAACTCTATCAAACCTAGATCCTCAGGAAGAGAAGCCAGTACTCCTCCTGGCCACCATGAGTCCTCTCTCCAGCCCCACTCATCCAACTTGTTAAGAAGGAGCCTGTTCCCAGGAGCCTGGTTCTGCTTCTTCATTGAGAGGTCTTTGTAAGGGAAGCAGATGTTTGAAGTGGGGTGTACAGCTGGAGATCCATGCACCTGGGGGACTCACCCCAAGGCCTCCTGAAGGCTGATGACTTGTGCTTTCTTCTGCAGACAGAGGACAGCAATGGGGACTTGGATCCTGGAGTCTTGCTGACTGCTCAGACCATCACATCTGAGACCACGAGCAGCACAACCACCACTCAGATTACCAAGGTAACAGCTTCCAGTGGCATGCTGAGCTGTCTGCTATACCCTAGATGGAGGAGACCAATATGAGCTAAGGCTCTCAGCTGTGTCCCAGGTGGAAAGACCTGATGCCATCGCCAGAATCCACCTGGGAAAGCCACATATAGTCAGGCATTCTCATTACACATCTGTCCATCATGCTGTGGGCAAAGTCTAAATGTCAGCTTGGGGTATAGCTCAGTGGGGAGCTCCTCCCTGCAGTGCACAAGCTGTGGGCTCCATTCTCAATATGCACACAGGCACACGGAGGTACACACAGCTACATGGTAAGGACAGAGCTTATTGATATGGTACAACCATATCTTCTGAGCTAGAATCATCGTTGCATCCTGACACGTGGGAACCATAGTTTAGACCTGAAAGGCTCAAATCACTAGGACCAATTTATAGGGAACATTGGGGACAAAATGCCAAAAATCCGAATTATCCTCTGGAAATCAGGCAGTCCATGTTTGCTGTAGCACTAGAAAAAATGCCTTTCCTTCTTCCCTTCCTTCCTTCCTCTCTTCCTTTCCCTCCCTCTCCTCCTTTCTCTCTCTCTCTCTCCCCCTCTCTCTCTCTGTCTGTCTCTCTCTCTCTCTCCATCTCACTCTGTACTAGCCTGAAACTCACTATGTAGTCCAGGCTGACCTGGAATTCACAAGTGCTGGCTCACGCTCAGAAGTGCTGGGACTACAGGTGTGTTCCACCACGCCTGACCTGCAAATAGTTATGATAAGAAACTTAGAAAAAAGAAAGAAGAAAATTTGACCATGCTTGATCATAAGACACAGATGATAACAAGCCAGCTATTTCGTCTACATTTGGCTTTCTTTATTTGTCCTCACTTGAGATTCTTTGAGACTCTTTTGACATTAATAATGTGAAGTACTTTAAAATAGGAGGCCCCAGTTTAGAGCTGAAGATAACCAAGTAAAAATACAGAAGAACAAAAAGGATGCTTCTCTTCCTTCTGGGTTTCTGGGAGTATTTGGGAAGAAGGAAAAAAAAAAAAAAAAAAAAAAAAAAAAAAAGAAAGTGAATAATGAACTGTGCCTTTTTGTTCTGTGTGCTGAAGAGTCTAGTAGCCCAAGGTGGGGGAGTGTGGGCCTGCCAGGGCCTCCTGCTGGCAGGCCCTTCCAAGCTGAGATGTGGTACAAGGCTCTCCTGGCTAGTGCCAGCATCATGGTGCTCAGCCTGAGCTACATTCCCATGATAGCAAACAAACAAGCTGGACGCTTGAAGGGAGCTTTTAACCGTCTGGGCTGTCCTGCATTTCTTTCCGGCTTACATGGCTTTCACATGGCCTCTTCCTTTGGTTACAGACTGTAAAAGGTGGGATTTCTGAGACCCGGATCGAGAAGAGAATTGTGATCACGGGAGATGCAGATATTGACCACGATCAGGTGAGAATGCAGCAGGGGACTTGATGGGCACAGCAGCATCTTCAGACAGCTGCTTTAGCTCTTGGGAGGGGCTGTTGTGGGGTAGACAGGCAGGCATGTGCATGGTGACCACACCTGTAATCCCAACACTCAGGAAGTTCACCACAGCCAGCCTGAGCTACACAGTAAGACCGTGTGTGTGTGTGTGTGTGTGTGTGTGTGTGTGTGTGTGTGTGTGTAGGAGATGACGGGTGCACATGGGCTCCAAGTCCATGGATCCCAAGCTGGGGTGGTGTTGACACAGAAACAAAGGGGAGGCACTGTCCCTGACCCAGAGTGCACAGTAGCAGATAGCAGCAGATGGGTAAGACACCAGGAGATGTGGAACTCATTCTGTATCCTGGATCTGGCACCAGCGTGCTGTGTGACCTTGGGTAGATCACTTTACATCTGATGTTTTTCTCTCTAAAAGAGAGTGGGTTGATCTAGATAATTCTTGGCCTTTCTGGGTGCTAAAATTCTATGTTAATTAGATGCTAATTGTGTGCTACAAGCAATTAGCAAATAATAAGGTCAGATGTAATGTCCCCAATTCTCTTCTGGGTGCTGTTAGGACAGTGAAGCTGTTGAGGGGGAGGGGCAGACCTGTCCAAGCGAGCAGCGCTGGCCTCTGTTGGAGTGCTCAAAGAGCAGCAAGAGGGGCTGCAGGGCTGGGACTCAGTGCTGTGCATATTGTGCTCAGACTCCCAGAGACAAGGCCAGAAGCCCAAGTAGGGCCCTGTGGCCTGGATGCTGTGCTCAGTGGGTCCTTCCTGCTGCCAGCCCGAAGCTTAGGATTTGAGCCCTGCTATGTGTTACCTGTGCTCTCTGACAGCAGAAGCTGTGGATAGAAGGTATTTGGAGTGGAGCAGGCCTGAATCTTAACTCTGCCCTTTGCTGTTGTGCACACCCTTTAGCAACTTTGAGCTGTGCCTTTACCTTATAAAATGAAGATCCCCTGGGTCAGAGTTGATGTAGTGATACTCAATGGCACAGAGAGAGCTCCAGGGACCCTTGTTTCTTCCAGGAACCGAAGGCTCTGGGAGGGAGGAGGTGTGATATAGTTTAGGAAGGACTATGAGAAAAGCAGCGTAGACCAGGCTTTCTTAGAGGGGGCGGAGCCCCCAGGGAGAGGGCTTGAGCTGGGCCCAGAGCGGAGCAGCTGGGCCAGGGAAGAGGAACAGGGGCCAGCAGAGAAAGCAGATTTTGTGGAAATCTAGATGACAGAAGTTGTGGTCTACCCCCATTGATTGGCTGGAGAGTGTCCTTAGGTTCCTTCAGGCAAATAGTTCTAACAGGCTATCAGCTATCACAGTGACCTGAACTCCTCCAGGGGCTCCAGCTGGAACCTAAGGGAACTAAGGGACTATGTGACAAAGGAGAGAATCAGATTTAAAAGCCAGGTTGCCTCCCAGCTGTGACAAGTTCCACAAAATCTGTACAAAGGCAGGGAAGGCACTCACAGCAGATCCCTGACGTGCTCAGTTGTGAAGATTAAGTAAAGAAATTATGTCTACGTCAGTGCCTCACATCCCATGGTCAGCCTGCCTGCCTGTCTTCCTGCCTTCCTCCCACATTTGCCAAAGCACATCTTCCTTTTTAAAAGCTGGGTGCTCCCTCATCTTCCTGGCCTGGCCTCCCTGTTCCCATACTGAACACGGTGTGTGCTCTGAATTCACCACCTGAACGAATCCTCTCACTCCTGAGGTTGCCTGTTTCTCTGAAGAAAACCTCTACCCTTCCCTGCCTTTGTACTCTGAGTCTAGTAGCCTCCCTCTGCAGCACAGGACAGGGCAGGGCAGGGCAGAGAAAGGTGCCGATCTACTTGGGCTGTGCGGTGTGCCATGCTGTCGCCGCCATCATCACAGAAATGCCCCAGGCTTCCTTCACCAACTGGGTTGCTCTTTGCCTGACCAGCTTTGTCTCTGTCTTTCATAGGTCCTTGTACAAGCCATCAAGGAGGCCAAGGAACAGCACCCAGACATGTCAGTGACCAAGGTGGTCGTCCACCAAGAGACCGAGATCTCTGAGGAGTGAGCTCAGGTAAGGGTGTTTGTGCTGGGATGGGGGATGCTGTCATCTCAGTCAGAGAGAGGTCTCAGGAAGTCCTGACACTTGGGGAGCCCCTGACCCCAAGGGATGTCCACACTGGAACTCAATAAAGTAAAGGGAGAGGCTGTTGTTAACTGCGTGGCCAGGTGTATGTGTCCTCCTGCCTTAATGTGGCAGCATCCCTGGGTGGAGTGGGGGTTACCTCAAACTTGGGTCTGAACTGAACTGTCACCTGCTTCTGAAGTCCCCTGCTATCCTCTACCTTGTTTATTTGCCCTTGGCAACTCCAGGATCTGTGGGCTAGAACCTGGGAGGGCTAGAGAGCAAAGCTGTGAAGAACAAGGCAAGGCTTCCGGAAGGACACATAGGGGGTTGAGAAGTCTAGAGCCCTGGGGCCAGGCTAGATAGCTGGGCATGCGGGAACCCAGAAAGATGAATGCCTAAAGCAAACGCTGGGCAGGACGGCCAGTGCAGATCACCACATCACAGCCAGAAGAGTCTGCTGCTGCTGGTACTGGATGCTTTCTCCTTTTGGGGTTCAAACTCGTGCTTTTTTTCCTCTAGGGACAGCCCCATCCCCACCCTCCCCCACCCCAGAGAAACCAGCATATCGTAAAGAAACCAGCCTGCAACAGTCAGACTTCAGACTTTCAAGACTGTTCCACACCACAGAAAACCAACTTCATTTTCTATTTGGAATTTATATTGAGACTCTTCTAGATGCCACAGATGCTTTCTATATTGTGATACAGAAATTGTCAACTTTTCAGTCTATGAACTGTTTTTAAGACTTTTTTTTTTTTTTTTTTTTTTTTTAAATGGGGTAGTTTGTAACACCTCACTCAGCCTTGCCTCTCCTCACTCAATTCCAACTTAGACCCTGACAGGATCCATAGACTTCTCCAAAACCCTCCAGAGAACCTGTCAGCCGTTAGAGGCCAGAGCCAGCTCGTGGGACCTCCTGCTCCTCCTCCAGCTTCACACCCTCTGGATGACACAGAAACTTCATGTACCAGTGAATGTCAGTCAGGACATATACCTGGGTCAGAGACCCCAGAGACATGACATCCCTTTGCAGGGCATTTGCGGAGACCTCAGCTGAGCATGTGCTGTCACACCTCCCCCACCCCTTTTGTGTTTGGAGCTTTAGGTCAGAGACATCAGTTGCTTCGGGTAGAGCTAATACTGTGAACATTTGAATGCATCTGTGGCCTTCACCTCCTCAGCTGGCCTGCCCTCATCAGACCCTCATCAGAAGCAGCAGCTTCGCCAAGTGTTCCCCAGCTCCCATCTCAGGAGACTAAAACTCATGGAAAATTAGGCACTTTTGGCTAAAAGTGCCAGTGGAACATTTTTAGCTGTAGTTTGGGGAAGAAAAGTTAATGAGCTTTTAAAAATCAGGTCTTGTTCAAGAGTGCACTTCACCCAGGGGAGTGGTGCCTTTACCTCAGTTGGACCCCACTAAGAGGCATCTACTGGGCCTCCTCCTACCTGTCATGGTAAGGCATGTGGCTCAGGGAAGAGGGTGTGTTCTGACCTTTCTTCCCTTGACAGGCAGCTGCCTGAGGATGTCCTCCAGGAACAAGGGTATTTTACCTCCTGGTGGTCAGCCCTGCCTGGCTGGGGTTGGAGTGAACCAACTCTACTCAGCAGCACCCCCCCCCCCTTGCCTGAGAAGGCTGTCAGGTTTGGGGAACTTTATTGTGGGTTTTGGATTTAGTTTCCTTTTTTTTTTTTAATACTGGTTTTGAAAAGGGAGCCTGATGTCCCCAATTGGTGGTGAGAATTTGGACTCACCCCCCCCCCAATAGGGCCTGAGAAATCCTCCAGCTTACTTTGTACAAACAGATTTGCCTGGAAGCTTCTTAGATTCCTAATTCTAGGCTAGAAATGAACCTCATGAGGGTTGACAGCGGGTCTCTGGCAGCTGTGGCTGAGGGCTGAAGAGCAGTGAGCAAGCGTAAGGAAGGAAGCCACAGCAGTCTCTGGCCTCCTGGCTGGATGTGCTTTAGACGAACTCAGCAACTTTGAACTGGTTTTGAGTGTGTATTTTTTTTTTTTAGCTCCCATGAGACCGTTACCAACGGCAGCTTGCTTTAAGGGATACAGACAGGCTTGGGTTCCACTCCCAGAAGCAAACTGGCAGACTGATACAGGGTTGGATGTGCTAGGGAGTGGAGTTAGCATAGGCTCCAGCTCTGAGACCCAGGAGGAGAGGGGCACTGGGCTCAGCACTATCCCCCATCAGGACCTCACACCTGGGTACCTGACCCCTGCTCCTCTCTGCTGCCTTTGTCTGGAAATGAGACCAGACTTCTGACATCCCTCCAGACCTCCTCCCCCTCCTTTGCTGGCTCTGGCAACAGACCTTGGGATATGGTAATTGTTTGGCTTTTTTTCTTTCTTTCTGCAGTTGGTGTGAAGAACAAACTCTGTCCAGGTAGAAGTAATGAGGGGGGAGGAGAGGCCCATCTCCAGGGTCAGGGATTGGCAGGAATTTTCCCAAAGTGACTCAGGCACACCACAGTAACAAACCCAACTGCAGTTTTATTTTTACTTCAGAAGTAGATTTCCTTCAAACCAATGAGATCTCTTCCACCCACCCACAAAGCAAGCCCTATATTCCTAAGCTGAGGGCCCAAGGAGGCTAACCCCAGGGACCCTCCCTCAGGCCAGCAGTGTATTCTGGGGGATGCTGAGCAGCTGGGGTTGGGGGGCTGTGGCCCACCTTAAGAAATGGAGCTGGAGTTCTGGCCTAGCCAGCGCCCCCAATGCTCATGGGAAATAGAAGCCCTGGGCTGGTTGTTTTTACAAATCTCTCTTAGATCTATTATTTTGATGACAAAAATGAAGGAGCTTTGTAAATTTTTTAAAAATTATGAATCATATCAAGTAGTTGTTTACATTTGACAAAATAGGAACTATGGCAGCAGAGTCCAACTGAAAACCCTTCGGTGAGATAGATAGGCAGTAATCAGGCCTGCTGTCTGCGGCTTTCCCAGTGACAGGTGTGGCTGTAGTGTTTTAGGTTAAGTGTTTGGTCTTGCTTCTTGTATGGCATTTTTCAATAAACATGAAAAAAAAAAAAAAAAAAAGACCTGACTGTGAGGATTGATCCACTTTAAAATTTCTTCTTACAAAAGCGTGGGGGGGGGCCGGGGGTACGTGGGCCGGGAAAGGTGAAGGGGAGCTGCCGTGTACAGTCAGCCCCCCACACTGGCCAGAGTGCAGCTCCGGGCTGTGGAGGGAATTGCTGAGAACTGGCAGACGCCCTCTGCCAACTGGGGCAGGCTTGCCACACGGGCCAGAAAAAGTGAGCCGGACCTGTCTCCCGGGAGCAGTGAGCCCAGGGGCCGGGCACTGGCAGCGGTTAGCCAGACTGGGACAGCCCACATGGCTCGAGGAAGAATGGGCCTGAAGTGGTAGCAGTGAGAGGTGCAGTCGCTGCCCCACACAGCCGCAGAGGGTCTCCATTCCACGTCACTGCCCACCTTCCCCGGGCAGGTCCCACCTCCATCACCACTGCCACCTTGGAGGGAGCCTGTCCCAGCCTGAGGCAGCCCAACCTACCACTGTTGAGTTTGCCAAGGTACCGGCGCATCTCTGGATGCTCTTGGCCTAGCCTGCAGCCCCTCGGGTACCTGTCCGGGCTAAGGCCACATGGGCTGAAGAAATTCCTGAGGCTGAATCATGCTGGTGTCCACATTAACACATGCCCTGAGGCTAGCCCGGTGCAGCTGGCACTGCTCTATGCATGCAGGTCAGGAGCCTGAGTGGCTGCTGGCACCACAGCATCCATCCTAGCCTCAGAAGTGACAGAAGCAGCCAGTGGACGCTGGACTTCTGTTGTCCTGGTCCATGGTCCACGATGTTAGCCTCATATAGCAGGTTATCCCCTGCCCCTCAGACTCGGCTCCCCAAGTCCCCTTCTAATTTGGCATAGCCTCCCAGACTAAGTCTGTCCAGCCGTGGCCAACTTCGGTGGGCACAGTCCCGAGCTGCTGGGGCCCCTAGGAGGAGCTCCCCCAGGCCCAGGTCCAGAGACTTGGAGTGCTCAATGCAGGAACCAGAGGGCTGCACCGTGATGATCACGTGGCCAGTCTGAGTCCGGGGACCCCAGGGTGGTGGTAGTCCCGGACCCTTCAACGGGTAGCTGTGGAGCAGCGCGGGCAACCCCGAGCGAGGATTGGCAGGCTCAGACCGCAGGCTGCGCACCGACGGCACTGGCGAGGGACCCCGCCTCGGGGCCAAGTCCCAAGTCTCGGGCTCCGCGACGGTGCCCGGGGACCCATGCGCCGGACTGGGCAGCAGTGCATCCCAGCTGGGGCCGTCGGGTGGCCGCAGCGCTTGTGCCCTCAGCACGCCCCGGCGGAGCCGCCGCGTCTCCAGGTCCCTGTTCTCGTAGAGCAGAGTGTTGGCACAGATGAACACGAACAGGCCGACGCCCATGATTACCGGCCCCAGCAGCCGCAGGCGCTCGTGAGGCCCGTGCGCGCGGCCGGTCCTCGGGACGTGGGCGTGGGCGGCGCGGCCCGGCCAGTAGCCCGCCACGGCGATGCCCATGCCCACCAGCACCACGAGCGCGCCCAGCGCCGCGAACGCCCCCGACGGCGAGCGCAGCCGCAGCCGTGCCCGCACCCGCAGCGGCTCTGGCGGGGAGCGCGGTCTCCGGCGCCGGCCCAGGCGCCGGCCCAGGCGGGAGACGCGGCCCTCGGGGCTCCTGCGCGCACTGCCGTCTCCGGGGCTCCCGGCCGTCATCCCGCGCTCGTCCGGGTGCTCTGCGGGGACAAGCGGTGAGGCTGACACTGACCCGACGGGCCGGGCTCCGGGGGAGGGACGCGCGGGGCCGCCTCGGCCGGCCGCTCGGAGATCCCTGGCGGCCACCCCCGGATTTTCCCGCGGCCGCAAGGCAGGGAGCCGCCCCCGCTTGGGTTTTCCGCAGCGGAGCTGGGAGCCAGCGTTGGCCGGGCCGGCGGGCGGAGCGCAGGGAGGGGGCTGCGGGGCTCGGGTGCAGCCGGGGCTGCGGGGCCCCTGCAGCCTGCGTGCGTCCCAGCCGCCCGCGCGAGCACCCCTTTTCCTCCCGAAACCGCGGCCGGGGTAAGTACCTCCCGGGCTGGACCCCACCCCCGCACGTGGCCGCCCCGAAGTGACCAGGGGAGGGGGCGCTCGGACCGCCCCGCGGCTGCCGGTCTTGCGCGCCCGCCCCACCTCCCCCCTACTGCGCTTTACGTACCGCAGCGAGGGCCGCCGGGGGTGTCTCTGACTCCGGCTTCTCCTCGCTCGCCCCCTCCTTGCAGGCTTCCTCAGCTAGCACTGGAGCTGCAGCAGGAGAGACTTGAGCTAGACTCTGGGAAGACCGCTCTGGCCGAGACCAGCCAGTCAGAGCAGAGGAGGCAGCGACCGACTTTGTCCAGGATTCTTTTCCACTCCTCCAGAAGAGGCCTCCCCCTCCCCCCCACGGCCGGGCTAGAACCAGGGCTGGAGGCAGGGGACTGCCAGTGCCGGACGCAGATCCTCCCCGGACGGGCTGTCCTCCCGGATCTCTCGTCGGCCCAGGCAAGGCTGTTCCCAGATTGCGGTGTTTCCGATTCGGGCTCCCGGGGATGAATCATCCCCCTTTCCCGCCGCCTGGCCTCTTTTCCAGCCTCCTCCGCCAGAGGCCTCCGTGGGCCGCGTCCGGGCCAGAGCTGCACCGCCCCGGGGTCGGGGCCGCAGGCTGGAGCCGCTCCAGGAGGCCTCTCGCCCTGGCCCGGGCACCGGGAGGTCGCGGGCAGCGGGGATCGGGGCGTCC